AAGATATTTTTAATATTCGGCTAATAAAGTTGCTTTATTACCACCAATGAACTAACAAGAAAAGTAATAGAAACAGAAATATAGTACAGAAAAAGAAACGGTAGAATTGTGATCCAAAAAAATTAATTATTGATACAGTCAGGAAAACAAAAATAACAAAACACAAAGAATAATACTCTTTTTGCTTTGGAAGACCTTTTTTTTTAATTTTCATCATATCTATTCAACGGATTGAAGGAATGCTATAAAATATATTTGGGCGCGAAAGAATTGATATTGGCTTTTAAAAGACCATTAAATAGGTGTCAATTTTTTAATGAATGTAGACGGTGGCAGAAGACTTTATGAGATAATTATTGTGACAAATGGTTTACTATCAAAAGGATATAAAAAATGTCAAAACACTTTCCCCTCCTCTGGTTCACTTAGTAGATAGGTACACATATAAAGAAAATATAATTTCATAATTCGCAGGTCATCATGGACAAACCCACAGGTCACAGGCACCGGAAGAATAATTAAGCTATTATTTGATGAACTCTTAATAATCATTAGGAGTGAGGGTAGCTATATGTAACAATCCAGAAAATAATAGGTTTATTATAGGTATACTTAAGTAGTTTTGTTCCTTTAACTTCATAAGTACTTTTTAAATTTGTATAGGTACTCTTTTTAAACTATCCGGTATTTATTTGTGAACCTTTAGATTACATCTTTTTAGGTTTCATTCGTAAATATTGGTTGTGGTTTTTTCTTATGTGGGCAACAATTATTGGTCATGAATTCAAACTCACCTTACCTTGAGAATTTTATCATATTTCTATTTCTTTTTATATATAAATTTATTTATATATAGACATTTCGTCTACTGTTTAAGAAGATTTTTATAAGAAATAAATGGTAAAGTTCCATAGTACAAAACCAAATTACTGAAACTTTTAATCCAACACAAAAGAACGTAATTCTCTTACCTCAAATTAGACACAATGGTCAAAGACCTTTCTTCTTCGGTTAGAATCCCGTCCGGTCGTGAAAGTATTATGGCGGATACGGTAACCATAGCAACGGACCCCGGGTGGCGAAGCTGCACCCCTCTTGTTCTTTATTTTGTAAGTCGGACCAAAATATCACGTTGGCCTGATTGATATTTGTGTCCTCAATTTGGAAGGGGTAGTTAATATAAATGCTGGATTTGAATTTGGGGATCTGTGTTTTTATTCTTTTTTGGTTGTCCTGAATCTGTAACAAAATTGACAGTAACTTCTTGTTTACTAGCTCAAATATAGAAGCAAATCGATAGAAAATGTCAAAAAGTGCATACAATTTATTTAGAGATAATAAGCTTTGCGGCATCTTCAGAAGCTCTTATCAGACAGTATGAAAACTACCGATAAATGACATTCTTTGAAATTGGTACAGTACGAAACAGTAGTTACATTACATTAGAATTAAAAATTAAAGTTTGTCACTATAAAAATATAGAGATTACATCACTGTGAACGTTCTACTAATTTCTATACAAAGTAAAAGGTTTATGAGTCAATAATTAATAAGTGAAGAGTGGAACGAGTACCTCACTATTATTTTTAATTTAATATTAGACTTAGCGTTTTCGGCTTATAAAGTCATCGTTAAAGCCTTCCCAAAAGGTATTTTATAATTAACAGTATATAGTTAATTAAAATAGAATGTAACTTCCGTCTACTAGATATCCACCATAGGAAATCTTAGATCTAATAAAAACATATGGAAATTAAAATAATTAAAATTACATAATAAAAGTGCTGGTATGTTTATCAAACCTCAGTTGAGGAGCGTACATACAAAACCAGACATGTCCTAAATCAACTTATCTGGAGAAAATACGAAAAGCGTTTTGCGCTTAGGGTCTTGAAATTAAAATTTTCCAAAATTATGAAATATAGTTTATAGACGGGCAAACCTAAAGAAATTAATGGATTTTGTCTGAACACAAGTTGGATATGTCTGCAATGATTTTTTGTCTTATTCGACAATTTTATTAGAAAAATATACTTTTATTGTTAACAACCAAAATTTGTCAATAAAAACTTCCGACAAAATGTATTGCAAACATTATTCTATTACTCACAAAAGTTACAAAGAAATTACAAAAATTAAAATAGGAAAAACTCAAAATCCAACAAACTATTTTTTTAAAAATTTAGATATGTAACGCATGATCTTTTTTCATAGAGTCGAATTCTTTTGGTTCTTCTTATACATCCTCCTCTCTGACTTGGGAAGTATTATGAAAAAAAAAAAAAAAATATAGCAATTCTTTTGAGGAAGTTCTTGCCACCGAAAATTCCCGTTGTTAAATTGTTTCTCTAAAAGAGATTTAACATTGGATTTTTCCTCGCAAATAGCATTTCCAAGGGACAGATGGTTTAAATTGCAATTTGCTTCAGAACGAACCCTTTTAATCATAGAAGCATATTTCATGAGTTCATCGAAATTAAAGAAATTAAATTTTTGAATAGAGCTAAAATTACTATTCAAATAGGTTGAGTACCTGTTTATCTCATGAAAGATATCCAGTTTCTCCAGTATAGGTCCATTTTCATAAAGTTCTTGACTGGAACGCTATGTAAAATGTTGCTATCAGAAATCGGAGAAAACTATGGTTGTCAAATTTAATGTGATGGTGAAAATTTTATTTTTCAGATTTAGAGAGGTGCTCGTTAATACGTGTCTCTATAGATTTGATGGATTTACCTATGTAGGTTGTTTAGCAACTGTTACCTACATTGTAATTTGTAAATACCACTCCTTGACAACTTGTCAATATTGTATTTAGTTTTGGAAATTAGCAGTTTAAGGGCATTTTGAGTTTTTATAGCTATTTATGAAACCAGTTGCGAAATGCATTATTGTATGTAACTAGTGAATATTTGTGGGACGAGCAGAGCGACAGACATACAGACAAACCATGCATGGTGCAATGTTGAATTCGTTTGCACAGTTATTTGCATTATTTGAGAGTTCTGCTGGATTTCTAGAGTTTTACAGTTAATAAAAATATAATAAATAGAATAGACCCTAATATTGAGCCCTGAGGCATCCCTATATTTACTATACTAACATCCGATTTAATAGCATTTATATTAACAGCTTGTTCCCTGTTCTTTAAGTAACTTGATAGTGAGTCATTAACTGACCTTGTAATATTTTACTTTGTCCAATTCATGTCTTCTATTTCCTTTGTTTTTGTTGTATCTATAAGGTGTTTCAAAAAAACCTGGCATAAATGATCCGGCAGATGGAATATTATGTCTTAAGACCCTCCATTTTTGTGTTGGAGGGAATTATATTGAAACATTTATTATTTCCCATGACTTAAAATTAAAATTAATATATTTATTTGGAGTGAGGGTAGCCATATGTGAGTAGTAGGGATTAAGTGTAAGGGTTAAAGGAAAGGTCCTTTATTTCTCACAAGTCAATTTAATTGGCGACCGGTTTCGAAGCTGTCACTTCATCATCAGGCACACCTAAATGGAATGTCAAGGAGTCAGTTGTAATAAAAAAACAATTATAAAGCATGAACGGACTTTAACATATACAAAATAACAGAAAAAACAGAAAAAACACAAAATAAGTTAAACAATAACCTTGACTCACCTTGACTATTTCCATAAAGGAAGCGCTACTAAAAGTTTAACAAAACGAGTTAAAAAAGTCATATGTAATACAATAGTATTTTTTAAAAATATTGTAGGTTAGGTTAAACCGCGAGATGTCTGTTTGAATAAGTAAATTTTAAATTTAGCGGATAAATAGTGTACTAACAAAGGTGTTATTTACTGAAAGTGAGTATAGGGGGCGGTGACAAATTTGACCTTCCCCCTTTTTTTGACATTCGTACTTGTCAACTTAGTTTCCGTTTCCTGTAACAGTAATTTTTCTTTTGATTATCTGCTTCAAATTTCCCTTTTACATATGAATTTTCATATTTTCTTGTTCAGTGTTCTAATTTTCTTGTTAGTATTTTTTGCTTTCTCATTTCCCAGTTTAATATTTTTACTTTCAATAAATTTTGTCACCGCCCCCTATACTCACTTTCAGTAAATAACACCTTTGTTAGTACACTATTTATCCGCTAAATTTAAAATTTACAGTTTACTACATTGATTCGTTAACATTCCATTTAGGTGTGCCTGATGATGAAGTGACAGCTTCGAAACCGGTCGCCAATTAAATTGACTTGTGAGAAATAAAGGACCTTTTCTTTAACCCTTACACTTAATATATTTATATTTGGATATATTTTTGAGTAAATTTATATTCACACACAGAAGGAAAGTGTAAATTCTTATCCACATGCGTATGATATAGGGGGCATTTTCCATTAGTCTTATTAATCATTTCCTGAAAAATTTATATTGTACATCTGCATAAAAAACAAGAAATATTAATTATTAAATTATTAGCTCAAAGAGAAATTCTTTTATTAAATACTTCAAATAACTAGTTTTTCTATAATATACTGCAAAGTTCTATTTTTTCAAGTGTTAGGTTAACATTAGCAAATATTAATAAGTAGTGTTAAATTAATACAATATATAGAGAGTTATCGCGAATTTACATTTAAAATGTTTATCCGATTTCATCCAATAAGTGAAACAATAATAGAGATAAAAAACGAATGAGAATCCATAAAAAACACACGTTTATCAGACACTCTCATCCTCCAGCATCCCATACCCGGGCACTACACATTTCCCTGACACTGATTTATTCGGATCTGAGGGTGACTGCGGGAGGTCCTGTCTGAGTCTGAAACCTTACACTGAAAATTGTAAATCTAGAAAAAAAGGGAAACTACGACTTGTACAAGGTGTCACACAAAAGATAAAAGCATACCTACTAAAAATAATCACATAGGTAAAAAAAAATAATTTTCAACGTACCCCGCATTTTACTAAAATGTTTATACCCATAAAAATGGTTTAGTTATACAGAACAGATTATAATAATTAATGAAAAAAGGTTTAAAACTCTCCGAAGAACCACCCAAAAACACATCATGTAAAGACCAACCTTTTTCTAGATTAGCAGCTAGTAACCAAAGTAACCAAACTGAAACTAATATACTTAAAAATAATTTAAAATAGATTAAACTTAGATACACCCAAAAGATCGTTAATGAGCTTAGAACTATAAACAATTTAGAAAACACGATACTGATACAAGAAACAGTTAACACGTACCTTCTCTTTAAATAGTGTAAATAAGGGAAACGCTACAAAATCTGATTTTTTAGCTTCAAAAAAGACAGAAAGTAATATCTAACAGATTTACAAACAAGCTGCAAAAGAAAACAATAGATAACCAGTCTCTTACAGGGACATGTCAGCTGCCATACAAAATGTTTAAAGAAGTTTTAAACTAGATGAAGTCATAAACTTATACAAGTCTAAAAAGAATGCTAAACCCATTGGCACAATGAAAGAGAATACCAACGTTGCAGTGGGCGAAAATACTTGGATATTTGCATCGAAATATAAGTCGACATAAACAGGAGATATGTTTCAAGAGGACTAGTTGCGTAATAAGCACGTCATTTGCACTCGCAGGTAACTAAGAGTTTAATTTTTTTTAAATTGGAGTACCAGAACTGAAGTACACCCTTTTAGACGAAAATCCAGGGAGTCCCACAGGGTTCGGTCCTTGATCCGATACTGTGGAAAATCCTGTATGACAGGATCCTCAGACAAGAACTAGGTAGTGGATGTAACACAGTTGCCTATGCCTATGACCTTGCCTTGATCGTAAAGGCTATCACAAAAGAGAACTTAATTCAAAACGCCAATTGGCGCACATCAATGGATAAAAACACATAAACTTGAAATAGCAAAGGTAAGAGAGTTAGAGAATGCATTCAATTTAAATCAGGCAATTCTGTCATTACTCCGGTTAAGGCAGTCAAATATTTTGGGGTATAGATTGATGACAAAGGCATTTTTAATATCTATGTCAAGAAAATAGCAGAAAAGACAGAGAAGCAAGTGACAACTCTATCAAGAATCTTGACTAATATGGGAGGACCAAGCAGCACCAAAAGGCAATTGATGTATGGGGTGGTGCAATCAACAGTTTTGTATGCGGCACCAATATGGGCTACAGTTGTAAGGAAAAACAAACATAAAAATCTGGTGGTAAGAGTACAATGAAAAATGTTACTCAGGGTAGTCTCCGCGTACACAACGGTATCAGGAGAAGCACTGCAAGCAATCACTGGGTGTACCCCTCTGTATATACTTGTAGATGAAAAAGCAAGGCTGTACAACAGATGAACAAAGGATGCGGAAGTTAAAAAATCCAAAAGACTTAGATCTGACAGAATAGGTGGAGCAGCAATACTAAACAAAGCTGTTTGAACGAGAAGGGTAATTCCAAATATCCCAAATTGGTTAAACTGTAAGTTCAAGGAAACAAATTACTATCTGAGCCAATTTTTCACGGGATACGGCTCTTTTAGGGCCAATACCTACAGAATTGGTAAGACTCCTGACAGTAATTGTATATAATGTAAATAAGAGGATACGGTGGAGCATACATTTTTTAAATGAAACAGATGGGGAAGATACAGACAGATAATAGAATTATCAATAGAAGCTGAAATAACCCCGGAAAATATGTCCAAACTTATGACCGACAAAACGAAATGGGTCGAAAGAACAAAAGAAATAATAGAGATTTTGAAATATAAAGAGAAAGAGGAAAGAGACAATCAAGGAAGATAATGTAAAGAAACAGAGACGAATGAAGCAATGCTCGCAAGAGTTGTACCAGCGCCTCTGTGACAAGAGTTGGTTTTAGCAGGTAGGCTATCGCTTATCTAGAATTCTGCATGTCTAGGTTCACGTTCTAGATAGTCTTTGAAAGATTTCCACCTCTTAAACAAAAAAAAAGGTACCAATAAATCAAATGTGTTAAGTGTTAAAGTGGAGTACCACAAGACTCTGTTATAGCCTTATCTTTATTTCTTATTTTCATAAATAATGTTGAACTAACGTATCCCACCCCACACTTTGAAAGTCTATATGCTGACGACACAAGTTTTGTTATATCATCAAAAATTCCACCGACCTAATAAATATAGCCAATCAATCAGCACTTGAATATAATTATTATTTCATTACTCATATACTAAGCACGGATTAAAAAATCACAAATCATGACGTTCCTACCTAAATATGCAAAAATTTATTTTGGCTAGGTACCTCGTCAAATTAAACCATGTCAATTGAACAGGCATCTCTTATTTCATTTCTGGGACTGCATATAGATAATAAGCTTACATGGGAAAACCATGTAGACCATAATATATTAACTAAACTATGTAATATTTGTGTTTTCTAATACGTCAAATTAAAAACACAGTAACCCTCGATATTTTATAAATGATTTATTTTAGTCTGGTAGTGTCAACACTAATCTAGGGTTTTAATTTTTGGGGATGTTCAGCTCATATTCAATGGGCATTTTGTGTATAAAAGAATATTATTAGGTAACCAGTTCCAAAGAATATATTTTAAAACTCAATATCCTTACACTGCCTTCTTTATATGTTTATTAGTACCTAATCATAATTGGCATAGTTACAACACTTGACAATCTATTGCCCTCCATTAGTCATTCTGTAGGCTACCAGTAGGACAAAATTCGCACATTTTTTATAAAAGGATAGAATGTTTTAATATATATATATACAAAAATTTTGGAAATTAAGAAAATGTCTCAACGTTTAAATTATTTAGTAATAAAACCATACAGAGCAGTATATCTTCATAAAAGCATATGAAGATTTTAATAGTGATCCTTGGCTGTGTTCTATTCTTTTATTTTTTCTTTGTCTTGTTTTGTTCTATTTTTACTTATAACGTACTGTTTATTTACCCGATTGTGCTATTATACTTATACTTACACATACTTTGCTATAACTATTTAATTTCTGTGCATATGTTATTCTAAACAAAAGCATACTTATATTTTGTATTATTATGTTAAATTTGACTAGGCCAATAGGTCTTATACAGTTTTTATAAATGTGTATATTCTGAATCTACGTGCATTGTTAAAAAAATGTTTTTCATGTATTTAAAACGGAACATAAGGATTCTAAAATAATAGTCTGTGCAACAAGAGTGGATATGATGGCCATATATCGCTCGAAGACAAAGTTTGAGTATAAGACGCCGTAGCATTATGTACATTTTGATCTTCGATATTAAATGAGTTATTTTGTTTTTGTTGCAATATCATTTCAAGGTAATACACTTTGTTTGCAATGAAAATTTCAAGTGATAAGTGTTGAGTTTATTTTTCCTTATTTTGTAAAAAAGACACAAATTACTCGCCTATTAAAAAATACTGTCAATGTGAATTTTAAGAATTTTGTAAGTTGTCATAATAATAATAATAATAATAATAACTTGGAGTTATTTCTCAGCAATTATTTCTTGTCATAAAATTGGTCCTTTGAGCCGGATTCTGTTTTAACATGCTTCCATGTTATTTCGACAATTTTGCTAACTCGATTTGCTACAAATGTTTTTAGAAAAAATGGTTCAATCTGTAACCATGAAAAAACAATAGAAGAGTCCAAGTAACAAAAAATTGTATTAAGTTCAATATTTAAATAATTCTTTATAGTTTCAACAAGTTTGCAAAACAACAGTGCTGCTAAAAGTTCAAGTTTTGGTAACGATAATGTCTTTAATGGTGCTACCTTCGATTTTGCACACAACAAATTTGATACCCTTTGATCGTTTGAATCGATGAAACACAAATATAAACAAGCACCGTATGCTTTTTCCGAAGCATCACTAAATGCGTGAAGGTTAATGTGAATAGGTTAACTGCCGATCACTTGGAGAATAATTATATTATTTAAACAAATAAGTTCCCCTTAAAACACTAACCAATAAGTGTCATTCTGGCAAGTGGCCAAAGTACCACCCTAAAATATTTAAATTTCACAGCTAACCCTGATTTTTCTTGATGGCTCGTTACAAGTCGGTATCTACAGACCAATTCTAATAAAGTTCATTCAGCCAACAATAATTTATTAACTTGATTTATTAAATGAAAAAATATTTATCAAATCTTATCTACATGTTATTATTTAGGAATGAAAAAGTAAAACTTAATTTATTTTATAGTTGATTAGGGTTAATTATAACACCAGGAACATACAATTATAATAATATTGATATATTTCGATAAACTTCAATATTATCTTTTGGAAAAACGTAAATAAATACAATAATAAAAAACATAAGTATCTAAACACCGAGATTAGTAAAATTTACCATCTAAATATTCTTAAATGGGACACCGTGTAAGAATACGCACTCGTACTCTCGTGTACAAGTCCCTTCAGACCTGAGGGCCACAGTTGGGGTTAACATCTCGTTATGTAAAGTGTCTGTTTACAGGCATAACTTACGCACATTCGACTCGGCCATAATTCTACCGAAATGGCGGCTGTAGACAAAATGATGATGGCAAATGCCTCCCCAACAACCATTCCAGAGGTCATTTCTAATCTTCTAATGGTGATCAAGTAATTTATTAAATTAGGCGGTGTTGCTGACAAACGTGGAATGGGAGAATTGAAAATGTATTGTTCGGATCGATTGGGAAGGTTCTTCGGACGATATTTTTTGTGAAATGTCTCGTAGGTCGGCCCTTTTTTTGTCCTCACGAAATTACAAAGAAGTATCAAATCTTTGACCTTTATTGATAGTATAGGTATATAATGGCTGACAAAAGTTCATTGTTCATTTACATTTATTTCTCAACACTTCAATACAAATGTTATAAGAAAATAACCCTTTATATTATCGATTACGTCAAATAAAATAATACGTGCTACCTATTATGTGTACCCATGAGGACATTTTGAACTTTGTCCCGCCGAACAGGAACAAAAAATGTATTTTTATTTCGTTTTTTGATTGCATGTTCTGGTTTTTAATTTTCCTTATTTGTAATCTAAATAATAAATAAAGCAATGAGGTAAAATATATATTCATGCTGTACCTATAGGTATTGCTGCTCAT